CAGCCGGCAACCCAAGCCCTGAAAACCAGGTGAGTCCTGATGTGGGACAGCATCTCCCAGCACAGAATCATAGAATGCTGGGAGTAAGAAGGGACCTCTAGAGATCACTCAGTCCAGCCCCCCTGCCATCCCCCGGGGCAGCCCCACAGGAACGCGTCCAGGCGGGTTGGAAAGTCTCCAGAGCAGGAGACTCCACACCCTCTGTGGGCAGCCTGGGCCAGGGCTCCGGCACCCGCACAGGGAAGAAGTTTATCCTCACATTGAGGTGAAACTTCCTGTATTCTAGCTTACACCTGTTATTCCTTGTCCTATTGCTGGGCTTGTCCCCTTCCTCTTGACACCCACCCCTCAGATATTTCTCTACGTTAATAAATCCTCTCTCAGCCATTTCCTTTCAAGACTAAACAGCCCCAGTTCTTTCAGTCTCTCTTCACAGAAGAGATGTTCAGTCCCGTGATCACCCTCTATTGGACTCTCTCCAGTAGGTCCGTGTCTCTCCTGAACTGGGGAGCCCCGAACTGGACACGCTATTCCAGGTGTGATCTCAGCAGGGCAGAGTAGAGGGGGAGGAGAACTTCCCTAGGCCTGCTGGACACACTTTTCTTAACACACCCCAGTATCTCATTGGCCCTCTTGGTCACAAAAGCACATTGCTGTCCCACGGACAACTTGGTTGGGTCTGTTTGTGGGGTTGGAATGAGGGGAGGCAGCAGCCCCCAGCCTCCCCCCACGTGGGTGCTGGCTCCCTTCAGGACAACGGTTACGCCCGGCTGCTGCGGCGGCAGGTGGAGGAGGTGTTCCGGGACAATCGCATGATCGCCGTGTGTCAGTACAACTCCATGCCCGACGAGGACGTGGTGATGATGAGGCATTACCTGCGGAAGCACAACATTGAGGTCAAGTTCGTCCTCAACGAGGTAGGGCTGGAGCTGCTGGGGCAGATCGTGGTGCGGTTTGGGGTGCAAGAAGGTGGATGTGGTGCTCGCTGGGGTGAAAAGCTCGTTTTGAGGGCTGGCTCCCCCTCTCCACAGATCATCAGACCCGTGCTGTCCCAGTCCAAGTACAAGAATCTCCTCCCTCTCTTTGTGACGCGCAATATCCTGTTGGTGAG